GGAGTCACAGGCCTGCGCGGTGCTGGGCGCGGGCCTGCTTTGCTGCCATGACCAGGTCTGACAGTTCCCAAGGTCTCTGACAGCTCGACCAACTGACCGACCAAGGCTTAGGGTCCTGTTCTGGCTTCAGTGGGGGCAGGAGGGGCTTCCGGTTTCAAGCTTCCTCCCCACCCTCTGTCCTGGAGGACCCCGCATGCTGCCTTCTGTGCTGGGGTCTGGGGGCACCTCCCAGGATAGACTCGGGCAGAGAGCCAGGAGCCCGGGGTCCTGGGAGACCCTCCCTGCTTCTCAGGTTCCAGGCGGTGGCGGCCTGCAGGGCCCCGGGCCCCCGTGGGCCGAACTGGGACACGCTGTGCCCACACATCCCCTCATCCTCCTGGCAGCCCCACAAGGAGGTGCTGTTCTGAGCCCATTTTACAGACGAGCAAACGGAGGCTCAGAAAGATTACGGGGCTGGGATGCTGATCTGGGCAATGTGGTCTGTGTGTGTGGCTGGAAGAGGCCAGAGCAGGGCCGGCTTCCTCCTGGGCACAGCACCCCTGGGTGGGGGGCTGGCATGACCAAGACCGAGAGGGGTGCCTGAGGAGGCCTGAGGGCCAGAGCCTGGCTGGCCAGGGATGGCAGAGTCTGCCAACTGACAGCCTGGCTGCAGGGCCTGCCGGCGGGGCCTCCTGAGGAAATGGGCTGCAGCCATGGCACTGAGCCCCCGGGGTGGGCAGCAGCCATGCCAGCCAGCTGCTCTTGACTTGAGGCTCACCAAATGTGGAGTGGGGTGCCAGCCACTCTCCAGATGCCATTGTCCCCAGAGCCTCGTGCGCCCTGAGGCCGGAGGGGGGACTGTCCCAGGCCCGACAGGCAGCAGCCCCCTCCTCCTGGGCTGGGGGCTGGGAGTATAGGGAGGCCCCTGGACACAGGCCCTGGAGCCAGGCTGGCCCCTACCCTTGGCCTGGTGCACTCTTGGCTCTCGGCACCGGGGCAGGGAGTGGAATGCCTGGTTCCTGGGCACCCAGCGGGTGGGTGGGGTCCAGACGGACCTGCTGGCACAGGCTTAATGTTTAACGAGCCCAAACCCCGGCCCAGCTCCTGATGTTGGCGCCTATGACCCAGGCTGTGCAGATCGGGGGCTGCTGGTGCTCTGGAGGGGGTGCCCACAGCCAGGATGCATGAGTGTCTGGTTACCATGGAAACCGAGTCAGACCAGCGGCGGAGGTCAGGAGAAGAACAGAGCTGGGCCTTCCCCGGCCCCTCACGTCACCCTGGGCCCCAGGGCCCTCCTGCATCGCGAGGGCCTCGGCGGAGAGGGGTCCCCGTCCTCCAGAGGGACCCCCATCTCCCTTCCCCAGCAGGGTCGGCGGTGCTGCGGGGACCCCACCGGCTCTGCTGGCTCCGGTGCCCGGTGGCTGGGCCGGTGGCCGAAGCCTCAGGACCTTCCTCAGCTTTGAGACAATTCACCTTTCACTTTATTTCATTTATTTTTAAAAATATATTTTATTGATTTTTTACAGAGAGGAGGGGAGAGGG